AAAAGACTCAGTTAAACTCTCCCTAAATTACAAAACAATATTCTGTGAATCTCTTTCACTAAAGTAAAACATTCCATGGATAGGGTAACAACTGCTATGCAGTGGTCCTCTACCAGAAATGTGCATCAGATTACAGAGAATTTTCCCCAAGTACAGCCCGTGGATCTTACCACACATGTACTGATTCTGAAACTTCCAGGGACAAACCCTGAGCACATGTCTTGTCAAGACGCATCCCTGGTCATTGTGATGTGCAGATCTGGTTAAGAGGCACTCCTGCTAAATTACAGCTGGAAATCTTACGTCCCTAAATACTTTACAAATTAATACAGTGTTGTCCTTACACATAGAAACAGATTAGAATATTAATACTAACTAGCAGCAGTTTTAACTTATACTAACTAGTAAGTGACCCTTTTAACTTCATACCCAGACCCCTTTTAATACCTGAGATAGTTTAGTAGTTAAACATGACTTCAAAACCTGGTTCTATTCTCTTCAAGCTGGGTGACAAATGACAAATGTCTTTATAAAAAACAGTAAAAGAGAGTACACAGAGGAGAAGGCCATGTGAAGATGGAGGCAGAGACTGGAGCAATCCTGCCACAAACCAAGGAATGCCACAAGTCACCAGAATTTGAAAGGAAGGACTCTCTCCTAGAGTCTCTGAAGGGAATGTGACCCTGCCAACAGCTTGATTTCAGATTTCAAGCCTCCCTAACTGTGAGAGAAGAAATTTCTATTCTTTTAAGGTACAGTTTGTGGTAATTTGGCACAGCAACCACAAGAAGAGAATACAAGTTCCCTGAGATCTTTCTAGTTTCCAGTGTTTTTATGTCATCATTTAATAATGTATATTAATGTAACATTTTTCTTTATATCGAAACATTTTTAAGAAAAATTATTCAAATCCACAACTCCTTCTGACTAGTACCTTCTATGCTTGTGTTGCTCTACCGTTCTTTCTATTCAATGTTAGAAAATATTATTTTTAAAGGGCAGGCAGAATAGTTCAAACTTTTATAAAAAACAAAAACAACCAAGAAACAATCTCACAGCAACCTTGTTTTGGGCCACCTCATCTGGGCTCTCCTCTCAAGATGATCAGAGAAAAGCCCCCATCTCAGAGCCAAGCCAACGCACCTTCCCTTCAGGACAGAAGCCACTTCACCTCTTTCAACCAACTCTTGGAGCTCTGCCAAGTTAGACAGTAATACGGCAATTACAGACTCTCATTTCACTCTCTTCATGTCCACAAACTTATGCGCTATTATTTGGCCTACAAACAACTGATTCTTTAGGGGTGTTTTTGAATATGCACATGTCCTATGATCTGGAATTTACAATCCTTCAAAACAGCAAGTAAACATTAGTTTACCTTCTCATTTTCAAGAGTGCAAGCTCATCAGACAACAGACCACGTGCACAGGGTTGGGGCGGGGGGAACATGAATCTTTTTTTTTTTGGCCTCCAAAATTAACCCAAAGCACAGATAACATGCTTTACTGTACCATGTGACCAAAATGTTTAGAGAGCAAATACATGAAAACTGCTGATTACTCATACAAACCAAAGGCACTATGGGATAGATAATTCAATATAAACTACCAGCTTATCTCCATCATTCTCTTCACAACCAAAACACAACTGAGTATACATAGAGTACTATTTTGCAGATGTCACACTAAAGCTGGAGGATGAGAGGGAGGTGATATGCTATTTTTTGGCTGCTCTTCTTTCCTGTTGTCTGGAGTACAAATATAACAGCTAGATTTCCAGTAACCAGTTACCTTGGGGCATGAGGTAGAAGCCCTGTGCTCAAAGGGTAGAGCAAAAAGATGAGCCCATGTCCTTAAAAATACTGTGAAAGATAACTGGCTAGGAGCTGCAGTTTTTATACCTTCAGACTAAATATAGGAGGGAAACAGAAAAAAAAACCTTTCATCTCATGCTAATGAGAATTTATATTGTACAGGTACATACTGCATAAGAATTTACAATTCCTCAAGTAAAATCAAGAATGGGCCCGGCCAGCGTGGCTCAGTGTTTGAGTGTTGCCTATGAACGAGGAGGTCATGATTCGATTCCCAGTCAGGGCACAAGCCCAGATTGCAGGCTTGATCCCCATTGGGGGATGTGCAGGAGGCAGCCAATCGTGATTCTCATCATTGATGTTTCTATCTCTCTCCCTCTCCCTTCCTTTCTGAAATCAATCTATATATATAAAAGCCTAAGCAACCGGCCAACCGGCCAGTAGCTATGACATGTACTGACCACAGGGGGCAGATGCTCAATGCAGGAGCTGCCGAGCTATGGTGACTTGGGAGCTGTGGTGACTTGGCAGCTGCGGTTCTTGGGTGACACACCCAGAACCAGAGAGGAGCAAGCCTGATTCTGAGGTGTGTCACCCAAGAACTGCCCTCTCACAATCTGCGACCCCTCGGGGGATGTTGGAGAGCCGATTTCAGCGGTTTCAGCCTGATCTCCACAGGCCAGGCTGAGGGACCTCACCGATGCACAAATCCGTGCATTGGGCCTCTAGTAAAAATATTATTTAAAAAAAAGAATGGTGTAAGCATCAGCTTACTTTCCAGATTTGGTACCTGCTCAGCTCCTCTCATGCACAACCTTAAATAGTCTGGGATTTCTCTGAAAATGTTCTAGACGTTATTTTAGGGCACTAAACCATAAGAATACAAATGTACTCTCTCAGCTTTCCAGAGAGAGAGTAATTATTTGGGGTCAAAAGTCTTTTCTTCCCACTAGATTTTAGTGTAACCAAATCTAACTTATGTCCACAATAGTGTATATATAGTTAATGCCAGTTAGCAGGAATTTGAAAGTAAAATTTTACCTAAAACTGAAAGAGCACAATCCACTATTAATGATCCATGGCAACTGGGGTGGCCAGGTACTTCTATTAGGAATAATTCTTCCTATGGCCTATGACATCTCCCAACTTAACTTCTTCTCAGAATTTCTAACAAGTAGACCAATAAATTACGCTTAATAATCTTTAATTTCATTCTGCTTGCTGCTAGTTTGCTTGGACAGTAGTATTAAAGGGTTCTTGATACCTGGGCAATGGGGCAATTATCCCTTATGCTGGATTATACAAAAAAACAAACAAACAAAAAAACCATTAAACTATTTCTCTCATACTAAAAGGTACGACTTATTTATTCATTCACAAACCATTTATTAAACATATATTAAAAGCTGGGCTGTGCTGGGTGCTGGCGATATGAATAAGAAGGAAAAGTTCCTGTCCTCCTAGCCTACTCAGGAAGGTAAAGGATATAAGAAAATAAACAGAAGAATGAAAAGAAGTCATAGTTAAGATCAATTCTAGCTGAGTGGTAATGGAAAAGTGAACAATCTACTAGAGAGAGAAAGTGTTCTCTGACTGGAAGCAATTTTAATAGATTAAGAATCACTGGCTTGCCCAGTTGGTGTGGCTCGGTGGTTGCGAATTGACCTATGAACCAGGAGGTCATGATTGGATTCCCAGGCAGGGCACATGCCCAGGTTGCAGGCTCCATCCCCAGTAGGGGGCACGCAGGAGGCAGCCGATCAATGATTCTCTTTCATTATTGATGTTTCTATCTCTCTCCCTCTCCCTTCCTCTCTAAAATCAATAAAAAAAAATATTTTTTTAAAGAAAAGGATCACCGGCTCCACTTCTGTATACAGCTTTCAGTTTCACTTGCTCCTCTCAGATTTTAGTGTGCATGCAAGTGATGTGGAAATCCTGTTAAAATGCAGAAATCCTTTTTAGGATGAGCTCCATGGCTCCTCTGTCCTCATTTCACTAAATAGTGGCATGGCAGTGACTGGGAGAGGAAAAAACAAGTGCCCAGCATACAGAGAGCTCCTAAGTCTGAGTGCATCTGACTGACAGCAGCAGTTCCATATATCTTCTTGGTCACAATTCTGATGGCTATCCCATCACAACTATACTCTAAAATGATGTGATTTTCTTCTGCTTTGGGGTCCTTGGCCACATTTTAGGTCTTTCATGAGATATAGCATAATTCCTCTTATATCTGAGACAGGAGCAAATGGGAGAGGCCAGACATATAGGGAGAGACTGTTGAAACCTAAACCCTGAGCCTATGTCTTATACTTAATCCTCACAGAAGAGTGGCTCCAGAACTTGGCCCCAGGGCGGGCACCAGCAGCTGCGGGGTCCCCGGCATGAAGAGGCAGGCATTAGCCTCTCATCACACCAGATTAAGTTCCACTGCAATATTTCAACTGACACATGAATCAGCGACATCTGAAGAATACAGTCTAAAATTAAGAAATGAAAACCTATAACTGAAGTAATCTAATTGATTATCCATGATATAGAACCTGTGAATTAAGGACCTCATGTAGCACTCATGTACAGTTATTGATTACCGAGAGGAAAGGAACAGCCTCTATATGTCTTTTCAGTTAAAATTACTTTACTTCCATGAAATTGAGTCTGACTTTAGAGTATGCAAAAATCACTCTAAAATAATTTAAGTGATTTTATGGTACCATTTACATTAATTTTTACTTAATATTTTTAAAGAAGTAAACTGCAAGAAAAAATTGCAATCTGATTATAAACCTCTAAAGAATTATAAATTAAATCTATTCCATAAAATAATCAATAAGGCTTCCCATAGTTTTCCAAGACTTTTTAAAAAAGTGTGCTAGGTAAAGAACCAAATCCCTAAGCACAAAAACAAACACCCCAAAACTAAAATAATGGGCAAAGTAATGTTAAAGCTTGAAGAATTATAGATACAGACATTATAAACTATAAAATATCTTAAAAGAAAAAAAATATTTGCAGATATACTTGTTGGTATAATTCAGCACTCCCTTCTCTTCTGTTTTCATTACTTGATCAACATTTCTTCTCTGTCCCCACTCTCTCCCTACTGCTGTCCAGCCCTTTTTGGACCCCTGCCAGGGGATTCTCTGGGAGGTGTGTTACTCTAGGATACTGCACACAGTCAACTTACTCAGAACTGCTGTTGCTGCTGTGGCTCAGAGGGTCTGTGGAACGGCTGGAATCCAGGACGTGGATGCCCAGTGAGTTGATTGCTCGCATTAAAATAGTCACCATTGCCTCTACTGGAAGCTTCTCAAGAACAATAACCCTACAGCGGCTCAGAAGAGCAGCATTGACTTGGAAAGAAGGGTTTTCCGTGGTTGCCCCAATTAGAGTGATTGTCCCACATTCCACGTGAGGAAGGAACGTATCCTAATCATGGGAGGAAAGCAGAAGACATTGATTCCAGTCAACGACAACCTGCAGAGTCCTATGTAAGTTGGCCAACCATTCCTTCCTTTTCCTAATTTTGATTTCAGGAATAGCAGCTTTATAGTCACTGAATACTGAATATGGATGCAATAGCAAGAGAACACAACTAATGCGTTTTTAAGCCTAAAACACATCTTCTGGAATGCCAATGCCCAAGCCCGGTCTCTTGCTGGCAGAATAACAACTCAAAGTAGAATTCTACTCTAGTTTCAATATAAATCATTTCTTTACTTAGAAAAGTATCTTCTATCCCAAGGCCAAACTGAAATAGCTTGAATACAGAAGCTATGTAATTACAGAAGTCTAAGAAAACACAAAAATAGTATTTCCAAAATCTTCTTCCACTGCTAGTACTCAAGACATATTGTTATTCCTCCTAATAAACTTAGTAAATATATATGATATATTAAATATGTATATCAGTGAATATGTAACCACCAGATGCTGCTAATGGGAAATGCCAAGGTGAGTCAATGATCCAATCTGGAGTGCTAACATCCAGTTATAACTCTAAGAGTCTATTTAGTGATAGAGTCAAATCAGGTAAAAAAGTTTAGCTAAAGAGATGGGTTGGCAGCCTGTGCTTCTTTGTAGACAGTTAATAATGAAAACAGTTGCTAGCATTTGTATAGTGCTTAATGCTTTTCAAAGTGATCTTACATACTTTATATTATTTAATTAATGTTCACAATGACCAAAAGGTAGAAAAGTTAATATACCTGCTGAGATTTATTGAACCGGTGAATCTCATCAATAAAAAGTATGGTTTTCCTTTTGAAAAAGCTCTTTTCATTTTGAGCTTGTTTTATGACATCTCGTACATCATTTGTCTTGGCATTTGTTGCAGATAATGTCACAAATCTTATACTATGTTTCTTGCTGTTGTTGGCTATGATGTGAGCCAACGTAGTCTAGAAAAGATGACACACACAGTTTGAAAAGCTGATCAGACACAGAGAAAAAAGCACCCATGGGTACAAACACAATCAACATAAGCATATACCAAGCAACTTGATCTCTGAAAAATGCTTAGCAGCGTAGACACAATCTGAAATACCATAGCACATTATCAGAAATTTAAAAAGTTATGGATCAAACAGGAAAGTAGCTAAACCTTAGGTTAATCCTGATTTTTCCTTCTTTGTACCTAACCCCATTTGATTCCTTTTTTATTTTATTTTTTTTTTTTGGGGGGGGGGGGAGGGGAGTCTAAGATCTTTGGAATCCTAGTAAAAAGAACAGCTGTTTTGATTTAGTAGAGCCTGGGTGACAGCTGTGATCTCTTCCAGCCAAGAAAACATTACTGCTGAAGGACTAGGTGTGCAACTGAAGTGCAGGACCACAGACTCCATCAATTCCACAACTGGAACCTTTTGCAGCTTAGAAGAGGAGAGGTAGCCTTTGCATTGAGAGACAAATGACAACTAGCTAGCATTGAATATGACTGCATGATACTTCTGAATGTCTACTTTGGAAGGTGAAACAGCACTCTGATGCTGTCAGTACTTACCAGAAAACAATGGAGATCCAAGGGAAATACTGCTCAATGCCTGGCACTTAATGGTGCTCTACAAATTTGCATATGCTTATTAACATTATTGTTAGCAATATAGTAATATGGATGGGAATAAAGCAAAAGGAAAGATTAAAGTTTGGGAGTCAAATTTGCCCCTGAATGAAAAGGTGGCACTTTAATTTCTAAAAGTTGTATAGCACCAATAGATACGAGGCTGCTTCTGCAGCAAATTCCATTCTATTGGCTCCCAAGCCACATATATAGGCTTGTGACTCATCACCAACCACTACGTTGAGGAGTATAGCCTACTAAATCTTTTGTCCAGCATCTTCTGAGTTCACCCTACTCATCATCTCCCTGGGGACTTTACTTGTCATGAGACCATCAACAGCTGATCAGCCATTCTCATGATGTTAAGACTCATGGACAATAAAACTGCTACTGCTCAAACCCCTAAATGGAGTAACAACTAAATCCACCACCATAGTAATACATTATTTGGGTTACATCTAATTTATACCTGGCCAAAGGGAAAGTATGACAGCAAACAAGGCAACAAAAGGAACAACATGCATTTTAGGAACTGGGGTAAAGGGAGATGCGATATTAAGTTGTGGGAGATGAAGCTGGAAAGAAAACTGCAGAAAAATCATACAAGTTCTGGTGTACTAAGGAGTCTGAACATGAAAGCTGAGAGCCCCTTTACTCTGATCCTAAATGTTGCCTTTCATTCACTGGTGCTCATTCCTCTCCCTCTTCCTATGGATTTTTTTTTAAATCACATATTTAAACACCCCAGCCTACTCTTTTTTTGTTGTTTCAGTCTTAACACTCCACTGTTTTTCAGTGCTCTTCCAATGACATGTTTTCTGGACACCAAAATCCTAACTGCCCTTCTTTGGACTTGTGGTAATTCCTAACAAAGTATATAGAACTGGACACCAAAATACAGCACCGGTTTTTCTCTAAATACATGGCATTATGCGGGCAGTTATGGAAATTCTAGATGAAAATGACTTGCACAGGGCAAAGTGTTCACACTAGTTTTGTTAAATAGTTTCTAAGATAAATACAAATCAGTCTGATAAAATAAATTAACAGCTAGATGAAAGGGAAGGAAGCACAATAGGGATTAAATTTTTTAAAAACTGATTCCGTATACCTAAAAATGTAACATACAAATGATGCTCTGCAATTTATAGCAAGCTGTTTCCTTAAGAATTTGGTCATTAATGTGGTGTTGGAACACAAAAGTAGATTAAATCTAACAGTCCACATATTCTTGTAAATTTACGAATTCACCCAATTCTCACGTTGAACACGACAGAAAACGTGTCTGATGAATCTGGGTGGGTGTGCCTTTTTCAATCCATCACAGCACCCGTGGGCCGGGCACCGCCCAAAGATCCCGGCTCGGAACCTTCCCGGCAAGGCGGCACTCACCTTGCCGCAGCCCGGCGGCCCCCACAGGATGAGCGAGGGGATTTCGTTCGTCTCCAAGAGAGACCTGAGCAGGGTCTCCTGCCCCACAGCTCTGCTCTGCCCGATGTAGTCCTGCAGCGTGTCGGGGCGCATCTTGTCGGCCAGCGAAGGCATGGCTGACCTTAGGACCAGCTGCAATGCCTAATGAGCCCCTGGTGCTGACCAATCAACAGAGATCCTGACCCTGAAAGAACACACCTGGAAAGCTGATGAATATTCTATTGGGATCCTCCCCTGAGACCTACAAATAAATACCCTCAAGAGCAGTGGTTCTCAACCTTGGCTGCACATTAGAATCACCTGGGAATCTTTTTAAAATCCTGATTTCTGGGCCTCATCCTCCAGAAATTCTGTTTCTTTGTTATGGGGTGAGGCCACAACATTAGTAACAAAGAAACAGAATTTCCGGAGGATGAGGCCCAGAAATCAGGATTTTAAAAAGATTCCCAGGTGATTCTAATGTGCAGCCAAGGTTGAGAACCACTGCTCTAGGCTGAGTTGAGAAGGGGTCCCAGTGCTGATGGCCTGGTCAGCAGACCCGGGCGCTAGTCCCGATACTTCTCTGTGATGTGGCTGTGGGCCTCCTGAGCTTCAGGGTCCCTGTGACAAAAATAGGGACAGCGATAACTACAGTCCTCCCGGCTCCCACGAGGCTGTGAGAAGCCGGGGGCATGTGGCTTAACCCAGATGAGGCAAGGTGGTGGAGCGTGCAGGCGTGCAGTTGGCAGGACCTGGTTTGAATCCCAGCTGCTGCTCTCACCAGCTGTGTGACCTCAAACCCCTTCTGAGCCTCCGTTTCCCCGTTGATAAAGCAGGGTAGCAGCAGAACCAGGCTTCTAGCACCAGAGGCCGATTTAATGTGCCACGTTACGTGAAGCCTCTGGCACCGAGTCGTCAGTAAATGTCAGCTGCTGCCTCTCTTTTACCCCCACGCCCTGGGCACCTGCCAGGTCGAGACTCTCGCGCTTTGCGTCGCGAAGAGTCCTCCGCATCCGTTTTCCGCAGCTGCAAGCGGGAAACGTGTCCCGTTGCCTGTCGGGAATTGTAGTCTGCGTACCCCCTTCTGGCCGACCTGCGAGCCTCCGGAGGGGCCGAAGAGGCCATCAGATTGCGCGTGCGCACGAGCGCGTGGTTGACAGGCACCTTTCCGCGCATCTTCGAAATCCATGATATCTGAGCAGTCTCCATTGAAACGCCCCTAGATTGCGCCCTGGAAAGCGGTTTTCCACACCCGGAGCTGAACTGGTGTGTGGGGAGGGCGGAGGGATGGGAAGAGCCCAGAGCTTGTAATTAAAGGGAAAGGGGTTCCCTTTTCTCCACATCCTCGCCAACACTTGTCATTTGTTGATGGTAGCCATTCTAGCAGGTGTGAGATGGTAGCTCATTGTCATTTTGTAGGAAGGTAAATATATAAGGAAACTAAAGAAAATACAGGCTAGTTTGTTATGTAGATTCCTCTGGGTTAAAAGGATTTGGAGTTGTTTTTGGCCTTTCTGGTAGAGAGGGGAGTGGGGGTGGGCACCTTTACAATGTATGTCCTGCTTTTAAGTAAATTGGGAGAGAGTAGAGAACTGTATCTGCTGCTTCTCAACTGCCTTCAACTCAAAATAACCCTTATACTAAAGTGGCATTTTGGTGTGGCCTATTCCACTGCCCTTTAGGTTCTAGTGCTGCTCTCAAAACAGATTGTGAAGGTAAGTATCCTATATAATAAAGAGCTAATATGCAAATGGTCATCACACCCTCATGCCAGCATGCCTTAATGGCTCAGACACTCAACACTGGGGAGAGAAGAATGGGGACCAGCCAGGCTGCAGCCCAGGAGAGGGACAAGCCACCTGCCCCGTGGTCCTGGGCGCCTGTGGCTGCAGCCCAGGTGAAGCCACCCAGCCACGGTCCCCTGCGGCTGCGGCCAGCCCAGGTGAAGCCAGCCCGAGTCCTCAGTGCCTGTGGCCAGCCAGAGGGAGGGAAGACAGGGTCCTGGGTGTGGGGTGAGGCAGAGGCGGTGGGGGTGATCAGGCCAGCAGGGGAGCAGTTAGGGGCGATCAGGCAGGCAGGCAAGCGGTTAGGAGCCAGCAGTCCTGGATTGTGAGAGGCAGTCGGACATCCCCCAAGGGGTCCTGGATTGGAGAGGGTGCAGGCTGGGCTGAGGGACACCCCCTGCACAAATTTCGTGCACCGGGCCTCTAGTTACTAAGTATGGAAATGTAATATACATTATTTTAAACATTAATAGAAATATGTATATTGACATATGGTCATCATGAACACAAGCAAAATACTTTAAAGTGATGACAATAACTGAGACAACAACTGTGAAGTTTGTTGAATGTCTTTTCTCTTAATAAATGTAAGGCTTACATTTTTTTTCTTTAGAAATGATACATGCTTATTATGGAAAATCTACTCAGAGACCATTATTGTTAATATTTTAGTACCTTATTTCAGTATTTTTAAATGATTTAAATAGTATACTGTGTATTTATATATAAATATGATTCTATGTTTTTATTGTTACCTAATATGTATTTTCAAAAATATATATACTATGAAGTCAAAATGGCACTAGACTTGGACTTTAAGAATCTGGGTTTGAGTTGGCTACAGAGTGACCTTGGGCGAGATTCTTAACTCTTTAGACTCAGTTCCCAAATCTAAAAAAGGAAATTAAATGATCTTATAAATGCAAATGTTTTTGGTATAGTGCCTAGCACACAGTAGGCCCTTGATTATTATTTTATTTGTGAATCCCAGCTCATTTTGCCTGTAGTTCAAAGTTTCCTCAACTAGATGGTGATGGTAGGAAAAAAAAAAAGAATAAATCACACCAGCTTTTCTAACCAAATTTAAACTTTCTTTTAAAATGAGCATAAATACAAATAAACTTAAACTCCATTATAAGGTCACAGGAAATGAGGTCAATGTAAAGCAGTAAAACCTACTTAAATTTTCTCCTTTAATACCTCACTGCTTAATGGTTTTCAGCTGACCTTGGCAGTTTGCTTGGGGTGGTGTAACCATCTTCTCTGTCGTCCTTCCCCAGACTCAGAATAGGGATGATGTATTCAGTGGGAGTCTCAATAAGCCCTTTGTTCAGTGGCCACAATAAAAGTCTCAGCCTGGCTTCAATGCTTAAGTGCAGATATGTGGCAGTTAGATAGGCAGTTAGGTAGACATGAGTTGAGCTGAGCAAAGACTCAGCCAGGTATAGAAAATCACCAGGGTAGAAAGCCCCAGGTACATAGCAATGGGCAAAACTGGGCTGTGGCCTTGCTCCCAGGGTGACATTTCCTACCCTAGCATATCTATGATCATGTGGTTTAGACGGCCCTGACCTTTCATATCACTGGTCATGTGGTTTGTACCCTCCTCTGATCTTTCCTCCCCTGACATGTTGCTAGTCATGGGGGTTGGAACCCCTTAGAAGGGAAAGAACTAGGGGCCCAGAGAATAGCCCTTAAGCATTAAGCCCCCAGGACAATGCCCCACTTCCACGATTTTCTTTTTTTTTTCTTTTTATTTATTTATTTTATTCTTTTTAAAAAAATATTATAATAAGTATTACAAAGGGTATTACATATG